GATCTGGTAGAATTTAAGACCGCACAAATAATGTATAAAGCAAAAAATAAACAGCTTCCTGGTAACATACAAAGACTGTTCACAGAGAGAGAGGGGGGCTACAACTTAAGAGGGGAATTAAATATGAAACAGCATTATGCTCGGACTAATATTAAAAGTATGTGTATTTCGATTTGTGGTGTGGTGTTGTGGAATGGTCTCGAGGAAAAAATTAAACAGAGTATAAATGTAATAGAATTTAAAAAGATGTACAAAAAATATATTTTTACAAGGTATAGAAGCGAAGAAGGTGAATGTGCCACTTGCTAATGGCAAAAGTTTTTTGTTTGATTATACCATAGATATATATATTACATACATATATTAGACTGAAATTGATTAATTTACAAGCCTAAAAATGGTTGTTTTTTTTAAAATTATTTTTGTTTTGTTTTTTCTACAATTGAAATCATTAAGTGTTAAAATAGGGATAGGACTAGATAAGCATTGCTTCTTCCTATTCCATTTCGGACTGTTGTTATTATTATCATTGTTATTATTATTAATTTTTGTTTTTTGTTTTCTCTTTTAATGGTACGGAATAAAGTTTATTAAAAAAGATGGTCCAAAATGCTGCTGCATGTCTTTTAACCGGCACACGCAGGCATGAGCACATTACCCCCATTTTAGCCTCACTCCAATGGCTGCCCATACATTTTAGGATTCATTTTAAAATTATTTTATTTGCTTTTAAGTCCCTGAATGGTCTTGCCCCACCGTACCTCTCTGAGCTTCTACACCCTTACACACCTACTCGCTGTCTCAGGTCAGCTGATCAGCTGCTCCTGAGACAGCCTAAAACTAAGCGGAAGCTCAGAGGGGACCGTGCTTTCGCTGTTGCAGCTCCAAATCTGTGGAACGATCTGCCTCAGCACATCGGACAGGCCTCCTCTCTGTCTGTTTTTAAATCCCTTGTTAAAACCCACCTCTTCTCCTTGGCTTTTGACACATAGCAAGACATTGGACTTTATGTTACTTATTGTTTGGATGGTATGACTGTTACTTTTACTCATGTTTTATGTTTTTTACTCATGCTTTATGTCTTTTAATTTATTTTATTTATTTTTCTTAATCTTCTATGTCTTTCTCAGCTGTTTTGTCTTTTACTTATGATATATATATTTTTTTATTTCTCTGTACAGCACTTTGGTCAGCTGTGGTTGTTTTTTAAAGTGCTTAACAAATAAAGTTGGATTGGATTGGATATTGTAACTTAATTAAAATGAAAAAGAAAAGGACATTTAAGATTTAATTTTCAAAAGATGCCCCGGCAAATAGTTACCAAAATTCAATTTGAAATGTCAAATTTGAAAATTAAAATGCATTAGCAGAAAGGCATTTTCATTTCAAGGTCATTGCTGCATTATTTGACTCATAAATAAAATGAATAATAGATCATCCAAACTGCATTTTCATTTTCTTCTTCAAGACTGCTCATTTTATGACACAACTAAAAAGAAAACAAAGAGGACATTGCTTTTTCGTTTTCATGCCCGCCCCCCGCAAAAAAGAGTCCATAATTCAATTTGAATTCGCAATCCCAAGCGGCGCAGTTCAATTCTGTGTTTGATATTTTGATCAATAATTTTTTGTTTGAATTTGAAAAAGTATTGTTTGAACATATTGTCACAAATCTCACTCCATAGGTTTCGGTTTCAAGATGTGCATTCTTCATACGCAGATTAAAATGTTTCAGATGAAACCATATAAAGGCGTACTAATACCTATGTTATATATTGTAGATATTAAATACAGTATATGCTGGTAACATCAGAATCGCTTAGTCATCGTAGGGTTTTTTTGGGTGGGGTCTTCCAGTTGCATTACACGTATTTTGCCAGCAGACGGCGCCAGTATGCAGTGAGCGACTTATAATATATAATTCAAACTTACCTCTCATATACACTACTGTAGTACTGTAGTAGGTTATGTAAGAGGTATTCAGTAGTATATGAGAGAGGTATTCAGTAGTATATGAGAGGTATTCAGTAGTATATGAGAGGTATTCAGTAGTATATATGAGAGAGGTATTCAGTAGTATATATGAGAGGTATTCAGTTGTACTCACCAGTGAGTCCAGGAAGGGCCAGTGGGAGGGACTGAAGACCGGGCCGACGTCAGGGGGCAGGACACCATAGAGACCTGCTGGGATCCAAGGGGCTGGAAGGACATCCAGGTGTGCTGCTAGGAGAACCAACAGAGAGCTGAGCTCTGGAGAAACATCTGCTCAGCTTGGAGGATTTACACTGAGCAAACGGGAAGGATCATCCAACACACGACAACATCCAGTTGGATCCACTGGTTTATTACCATTATGCTTTATGAACAAATACAACAGATAATAGTCCCTTACATGTACACAATAAACACAAGGACTAAAATAATAGAAGTAGCAGACGTTACAAATCCTAAACAGGTGTGCACATATCTTTAATAACTGGACATGATCTGCTGCTGTGTTGTTCCCAACACAACACAAGGAATCAATATTCAGTTTAAAGTCCTTCACAACATGAACATCATTAGCTTTTCTCATAGACCACATTTATGAATATAATATTAATCTGCTTTAAATACGGTTACATGTTAGGCTTATCAAAATAAAAACATATCAGAGCTTTTCAGTACAAAAATGTTGTCCAAAATATCAACCATATTATAGTACAAATTGTATTTTTAGATTCAAGATCAATCAATACTTAAAATACATTTCAAATTAGAAATTACATCTTTGTGAAAACTGCTTAGTTAACCCTATGGAAGATTTTAAGTCATTTCCTTTCATGGTTATAAATATATTGATAAAGGCAAAGGTTGTAGCTTTCTCATGAATATTATTTTCTCTGATAGGCTGTGACGCAACCTGCCACGAGGGGTAATCAATACAATATATAACCGATCATAAACAATAGGTAATGAATACAATATCGATTTCCTATTCCTACTTTGGATAGTTTTTGGCTGGTTTACCAAAGCTTAACACACATCATAGTAAACCATTGGTCATGTACTGACCTATCTTTTACTGCAGTACATTTACCATGATAACAATAAGCTTAAAGTAGATATGTCCCCTTTATTCATGTCACAAATATTACCAAATTATATACTATATATATATTATATATATATTAACTTAATTAATGGATGTGTTTTGTGCACCACATCATTTTTGCTCGCAATGTTTGGCGGTGATATGATGATCATAAACTAAAACCCACACAGAGACACTGAGGTACCAGGACCAGACCTGTACCCGAACCCAAACCCAGGGAGGAGGTCCTCCTGGGTGAATGTGGTGTGGAAGGTGTGGATGTGTGTCAGTGTGTCTGAGGACCCTCCTACACCTGGGGACACTCTGTAGAAGGACAGAGAGCCAGCAGGCCGGTCCAGATACACTCCTACTCTGGTGGAGACAGGGGGGGGGAGAGAGATGTCTGTTATACTACCGTTGTACCAGGCAGAGTAACCATTTTCATTACAATAAAGTCTCCAGGACTTGTTGTTGTATCCAAGCGCGCTGTCAAGACCCTCTCCTCTCCTTGTGATTCCTCTGTATGTCACTCCTATAGCAACATATCCTTCTCTCCTCTCCACCTCCCAGTAACAGCGGCCAGTCAGAGCCTCTCTACACAACACCTGGTACTGGAGGTCAAATCTCTCTGGGTGGTCAGGATGAGACTGATCCTCTTCAACCCTCATCACCTCCCTGTGGTCCTGAGACAGTGAGAGATGTCTGTGGGCTGTGTTTGGGTCCAGTGTGAGTCCACAGGCAACTGACGGGAGAACAAGACATGATTAGGGACTGAAGGTTGGGTCGATTCCCGGTTTTCAGGTCCGGTCCACCAGCCTAAATCAGATCAATCAGATAAGATCTAAAACATCGATAAAATGAGAAGGGGAAAAAAGTACCGCGATCATTGTTATCATGTCTCTTGACAGACAAATATTTATTTTGGACGATTACTTTAACACCCAAAGCCAGACAACTCCTAACTGTTTAGCCCCCCTAACTACATGAGACCCGACTGCAATGATGCATGTCGCAAAATGTCACCCTTCTTACTTTTCAGTGTATTTGTTTATTTAAAAAACGTGAATAAGCATTCAAATAGGTTAAATATTGGGTTATCATACACCCAATATTTTTTCAGACAATGTTTGGCCTTATAGATTAAAATCTGCACAATTTTGACTGTTTTCTGAGTGTTTTCTTACTTCCAGACAGTCGACTAGTCGATATATCAATATATATATAGATATATCTATATATCTATATCTATATCTATATATAGATATATATATGTCCACATAGCAAAACATACTTATACATACGCAAACATACATAGACATATGCATACGTAAGTACACATACATATAAATACATATACGTACCTAAACATATGTATTCATCGTATACATACATACATACATACATACATGAATACTTGTACACATAAGTACACATACATACTGTATATACGCACACAAAAGCATGTAATGGCAGCGCAAGAACAATTTCTTCAGGAACTTAAGGTTTTCTAGTTATTATTATTATTATTATAAAAAACAGTATCAGCCCTAATAGAAATAATAGTATTGTAGTTCAAATCTAATATGAAATTCATACATCTTTAATCATGTTATTATTAATATAATATTGTTGTCTAATATAATAACATGCATTAAATCATAACAATAATAATAGCAACAATGATTAGTATTTTATCGTGTTCTGAATATAAAATACACATTAATAATGTTAGAAATGGCATAAATATTATGTTCTTTTTTTTTATTGGGACCTTTCGGTCTTTATTTTGTCATTCCCATGTTCTGGGTTACCCATCATACTGTACATAGGAGCAGTGGGCTGCTATGATCAGCGCCCGGGGAGCAAGTTGAAGTTCAGGGTTCAGTGTCTTGCTCAAGGACACTTCGACATGCAGACAGTTTGGAAGTGGGGATCAAGGGGATCGAACCCCCGATTATTGGACGACCTGCTCTGTCCACCCGCTCTACCTACTGAGCTACTCTATGGAAGTAAATCTGTGCCATCGTGTTTTGAATAAAACCCCATTGAATTATAAGCACTGAATATTTATGCATTGAAATAACGCATCTGAATTTTTTGCCTCTGAATTTAACTCTTCAATAAATCATTTTCACTTTTATTTTTCAATGTTAAAAAATTCAACGTTAAAAAATTTAACTCAAATATTTTCAACGTCCCAAAATTCAACCTGCCAAAGTCAGCATCAAAATTCAATGTACGAAATTCAGTGTGTCCCCTCCCTGAGCTACTACCTTACCATGGTGGAGGGGTTTGCGTGTCCCAATGACCCCCAGGAGCTCCGTTGTCGGGGGCTTTTATGCCCCTGGTAGGGTCACCCATGGCAAACAGGTCCAGGGGGAGGGGCCAGACAAAAGGTAGCTCAGAAGACCCCTTCTGAAGAATGAAAATAAATGGTCTTACGTGTCCCTTGCCCGGACGTGGGTCACGGGGCCCCCCCCCCCCCTGGAGCCAGGCCTGGGGGTGGGGCTCGGGGCGAGCGCCTGGTGGCCGGGCCTATACCCACGGGGCCCGGCCGGGCACAGCCCAAAGCGAGGACGTGGGACCCCCTTCCCGCCGGCTCACCACCAGTAGGAGGGGCCAAAAGGGTCGGGTGCAGTGCGAGCTGGGCGGTGGCCGAAGGCGAGGACCTTGGTGGTCCGATCCTCGGCTGCAGAAGCTAGCTCTAGGGACGTGGAACGTCACCTCTCTGGTGGGGAAGGAGCCTGAGCTGGTGCGCGAGGTTGAGAAGTTCCGGCTAGATATAGTCGGCCTCACCTCGACGCATAGCAAGGGCTCTGGAACCAGCCTTCTCGAGAGGGGTTGGACTCTCTTCCACTCTGGAGTTGCCACTGGTGAGAGGCGCCGGGCAGGGGTGGCAATACTTATTGCCCCCCGGCTTGGTGCCTGTATGTTAGAGTTCTCCCCGGTAGACGAGAGGGTAGCCTCCTTCCGCCTTCGGGTGGGGGGACGGATCCTGACTGTTGTTTGTGTGTTATGGTCCAAACAGCAGTTCAGAGTATCCACCCTTTTTGGACTCCTTGGAGGGGGTGCTGGAAAGTGCTCCCTCTGGGGATTCCCTCGTTCTGCTGGGGGACTTCAACGCTCACGTTGGCAGCGACAGTGAGACCTGGAGGGGTGTGATTGGGAGGAACGGCCCCCCCCGATCTGAACCCGAGTGGTGTTCAGTTATTGGACTTCTGTGCTCGTCACAGATTGTCCATAACGAACACCATGTTAAAGCATAAGGGTGTCCATATGTGCACTTGGCACCAGGACACCCTAGGTTGCAGTTCGATGATCGACTTTGTAGTCGTGTCGTCGGACTTGCGGCCGCATGTCTTGGACACTCGGGCGAAGAGAGGGGCGGAGCTGTCAACTGATCACCACCTGGTGGTGAGTTGGCTGCGATGGTGGGGGAGGATGCCGGTCAGACCTGGCAGACCCAAACGTATTGTGAGGGTCTGCTGGGAACGTCTGGCAGAGTCTCCCGTCAGAGAGAGCTTCAACTCCCACCTCCGGGAGAGCTTTGACCATGTACCGGGGGAGGCGGGGGACATTGAGTCCGAGTGGGCCATGTTCCGCGCCTCCATTGTTAAGGCGGCCGACCAGAGCTGTGGCCGCAAGGTGGTCGGTGCCTGCTGTGGCGGCAATTCCCGAACCCGCTGGTGGACACCGGTGGTGAGGGATGCCGTCAAACTGAAGGAGTCCTATAGGACCTTTTTGGTCTGTGGGACTCCGGAGGCAGCAGGCAGGTACCAGCAGGCCAAGCGGAGCGCAGCTGTGGCGGTTACTGAGGCAAAAACCCGGACATGGGAGGAGTTCGGTGAGGCCATGGAGAACGACTTCCGGACGGCTTCGAAGAGGTTCTGGACCACCATCCGGCGTCTCAGGAGGGGGAAGCAGTGCATCGTCAACACTGTGTATGGTGGAGACAGGGCACTGCTGACCTCGACTCGGGACGTTGTGGATCGGTGGAAGGAATACTTCGAAGACCTCCTCAATCCCACCAACACGCCTTCCGGTAAGGAAGCAGGGCCTGGGGACTCGGGTGTGGGCTCTCCTATCTCTGGGGCTGAGGTTGCCGAGGTGGTCAGGAAGCTCCTCGGTGGCAGGGCCCCGGGGGTGGATGAGGTCCGCCTGGAGTTCCTTAAGGCCCTGGATGTTGTGGGGCTGTCTTGGTTGACACGACACTGCAGCATCGCGTGGACATCGGGGGCAGTGCCCCTGGATTGGCAGACTGGGGTGGTGGTCCCTCTTTTTAAGAAGGGGGACCGGAGGGTGTGTTCCAACTATAGGGGCATCACACTCCTCAGCCTTCCTGGTAAGGTCTATTCAGGGGTGCTGGAGAGGAGGGTCCGTCGGATAGTCGAACCTCGGATTCAGGAGGAGCAATGTTGTTTTCGTCCAGGCCGTGGAACAGTGGACCAGCTCTACACCCTCTGCAGGATCCTTGAGGGTGCTTGGGAGTTTGCCCAAACAGTCCACATGTGTTTTGTGGACTTGGAGAAGGCATTCGACCGTGTCCCTCGGGGAGTCCTGTGGGGGGGTTCTCTGGGAGTACGGGGTATCGGACCCCCTAATACGGGCTGTCCGTTCCCTGTATGACCGGTGTCAGAGCTTGGTCCGCATTGCGGGTAATAAGTCGGACTGGTTTCCAGTGAGGGTTGGACTCCGCCAGGGCTGCCCTTTGTCACCGATCCTGTTCATAATTTTTATGGACAGGATTTCTAGGCACAGCCTTGAGGGGGTCCGGTTTGGTGACCTCAGGATTGGGTCTCTGCTTTTTGCGGATGATGTGGTCCTGTTGGCTTCATCGGACCGTGACCTCCAACTTTTGCTGGACCGGTTTGCAGCCGAGTGTGAAACGGCCAGGATGAGAATCAGCACTTCCAAATCCGAGCCCATGGTCCTCAACCGGAAAAAGGTGGAGTGCACTCTTCGGGTCGGGGATGAGATCCTGCCCCAAGTAGAGGAGTTCAAGTACCTCGGGGTCTTGTTCACGAGTGAGGGGAGGATGGAGCGGGAGATCGACAGGCGGATCGGTGCGGCGTCTGCAGTAATGCGGACTCTGCACAGATCCGTCGTGGTGAAGAGGGAGCTGAGCCGAAAGGCGAAGCTCTCGATTTACCAGTCGATCTACGTTCCTACCCTCACCTATGGTCATGAGCTTTGGGTAATGACCAAAAGAACAAGATCACGGGTACAAGCGGCCGAAATGAGCTTCCTCCACAGGGTGGCTGGACTCACCCTTAGAGATAGGGTGAGAAGCTTGGTCATCCGGGAGGAGCTCGGAGTAGACCTGCTACTCCTCCGCGTTGAGAGGAGCCAGATGAGGTGGCTCGGGCATCTAGTTATGATGCCTCCCGGACGCCTCCCTGGTGAGGTGTTCAGGGCACGTCCCACTGGTAGGAGACCCCGGGGAAGACCCAGGACACGCTGGAGAGACTATGTCTCTCGGCTGGCCATCCGTATCCATGCGGTATCTTGCCCTACTAGTATCTGATATCTAGAAGCACTCACAGTAAAGGGCCGTTTGATTTAATTTCCATTTCAGTATGGAAAAGGTCTGTTTGTTTAATTTGAGTGGCAAGGGAGAGAGATCAGCCTTTGTATAAAGTCTCTGTGCACCTAGAAATAGCTCCCTTCCTCTCTCCAATTGAAAGGTGTTATGGTAGTTAGCATTGGCATCGCCACTGTAGACAGGACGTCTGGTACTGAGGCCATGCCAATCTCCTCACTTCTTTCTTGTGTAGATTCCTTTAGTTGTCTTGCGTCCTTGCAGACATGTCCACTTCCCCCCATAGTGTAATGCAAATTAACCTGTCGACTCTTATGAGTCCCTATAAGAGTCAAATACACCGATTGTCTTTCTGAAGATGTTAATGCTCCCATGTGTCTTCCCATCATCATTACTTAAATCAAATACTTTGCTGTCAAAGTGTCCTAAAATAAATGACCCTTCATCAATGAACTCTCCATCTAAATAGTTAATGTGTTGTGATGAATCAAACTAAACAGACACTTACACTTCTTTAGAGTTGGTTTCAGCCTCCACTCTCCACCATGCTCCACACTGGAGGGGAAACACAGTGAGAGCAGCATGTTGGCTTTAAACATGGAAACATTCACATTCATTATCTGCTGGATCATCACTTTCTACACAACATGAGTTACAGCTGCGTTCTGAAACCACTTCATCTAGCAGGTGGTTGAATCCTTGTAGGAGACATTGTCTCACTGAGTGGTGAGCTGTCCTCTCCATACCTGAGGGTGTCCAGTCTCCAGCGTGGATCCTCCAGTCCAGCAGAGAGCAGCGCAACTCCTGAGTCTCCTGCAGGGTGATTGTAGCTCAGGTCCAGCTCTCTCAGATGGGAGGGGTTGGAGCTCAGAGCTGAGGCCAGAGAAGCACAGCCTTCCTGTGTGACCAGGCAGCCAGACAACCTACACACACACACACACACACACACACACGCACAGTTATTCTTATGACAAATCTATATTTAGGTGTGTGATTTCTAACTTTAATGGATGTAAATCTGTTAAATGTCTTCTGATAAGGAGCCTTGTGGTGGGACTACACATTGAGTCCAACTGACCTGAGAGTCTCCAGTCTACAGTGTGGACTCCCCAGTCCAGCAGAGAGCAGCTCCACTCCTGAATCCTGCAGGTCATTGGTACTCAGGTCCAGCTCTCTCAGACTAGAGGAGTTGGAGCTGAGAACTGAGGCCAGAGCTTCACAGCATCTCTCTGACAGATTACAGCCATTCAGCCTTCACACAAAATAAACAGGAACATGTTAGGAACTGTGTTGAAATGTATTTAAATTACACATTTTACTACTACATATGAATGTTAATACATTAGATCTTTAAATGTTAATAGTTAGATATCACAATGATCATAGTTCAAATATGAAACAAAACATATCATTAAAACGAAAAGTACTGTAATTAAACTTTACTAAAGAACTCTAAACCC